TAAACAAGGTTTTGAAATATATTTTTTTTAAATAGTGCAATAATAGCAGACCTTCTGCATCAGGATCCAGCTGATTTACAACAGTATATAGAAGAGAACTGTCCGACTCTTTGCGTAAGTAGCCCATCTGAAAATGCAGGACAGCAAACGTCACTTAAAAGAATTGACACACAAAATTTTAAAAATGTAATCCTCGGTATATCTGAGTGTGGATACATATGTAGATCAAAAGAGCTTGTAGAAACATGTATCAGTGGAAAGTTTTGAAAAGTGGAGAACCTTGGAGTTTGGCATGTATCTGTTGATGCGGTCTCGAGCTTCATCTGCAGAATGTTCAACCAGCGCCAGAACATGCTCCTCTGCTGTGCTGTCAGTCAAGCTGCAAGCATTTCCCTCTGGTTCATACAGATAGCTGAGATGGCAGAAATGACAATATGATAGTATCACTAGATGTTAAAGGTCTTGTTCACAAGATTCACAAGATATTAGCTTCTCTGACCACATATCAGTCCTTAAATTTATACAAAAAGTCACATTTAATCAACAACCAAATACCTGATGACTTCCTTCATGTCTTTGACTGGCTGCTTCCTGGACTTCTTTGCAGACTCCACTGGGATGGGGATGGTCTCTGGAGGAGGCACGTCAGTCGTCAGGTCTTCGTCTCCTAAAATGGCTGCCTGCTGGGTGAAATCCATATCCTGCATGAAAGACATGCTACGCTTCAGGGCTAAAAGCCGCTCCTGGAGACAGAGCAGAGTGAAGAAAGAGCAGCGCTTCATCACCTTTATTAGCCTTACATGTTACATGTAGGGGTAGTAAATGGGATGAAATATAAGGGGTGGTTGGAAGCTAATGATTGTAATGAAGTCTGACAGACATCAAAAGATACCTTAAAACAGGATGGATGTTATGTAGGTTCTGATTTTTGACACTACAGTGAAATTCTAATACTATTAGCTGGCAATAATTGGACTTGAACTAGTTGACAGACCATATTGACACTTTTTGGTTACAACATCTATGCTATCTATTCCTTTTTTAAATTCCATCCATTATCTATACACTGCTTAATCCTCACTAGGGTCGGGGGTGAGGGCTGGAGCCTATCCCAGCTGACTCAGGGTGAAGACCGGGGACGCCCTGGACAGGTCACCTTTTTTAAATTCACAAATTTATCCTGTGGGGAATTTTTGCCTCTCAGGGATGAACACAGAGCAAATTAACTCCTGATTTATAGGCCAGTCAGCGTATTACCCTGCGTTACCTGGGTCACTGGCCAAGTTTTAAAGCTAAAATAAATGAGTTATTATTTATTAAGTTCAATAGCAAATGCGTTAGTAGAAAGGGAAGCAAGCAAGTAAACGACTTTTCAAATGAAGACGAGCTTTAACCTCTTAAGACCTGATCACATTTTGGGTAAAATTATATATTATTTGTTTTTTCTTTTTTTAATTATTTTTTAATTTTGTTACTGTTGCTTACTTTTTGTATCAAACAAGAGTTCAGGTCTTAAGAGGTTAAGACAGAAAAAGGCCAATAATGTTGTCAAATATAAAGGACAGATGGGTTGTAATGTTATACACACTGCATATCATCAGAAAGTTGTTTTTGTCGTTAGCCTGTGTGACATCATTACCTTGCTCATCATCTTGAATCCTGTATGAAGCAGTTTCTTGGCAGCTTTGTAGTAGACAGTCTCTGGTCGGTTGTATACCATGGCGTTGTCACACATCAGCTTGAAGTCGGCCTGCAGGACAAAAAGGGTTCAGTGAGGTGTGAGGGCAGTTTATAAAGACTGCTTTATGATACTCCCAAATGAAATATTCACATCCTTGTTTTGCAGATGAGAATGTTTTGAAACGTATCCTCACCTTAAATTCTGTTACTGTGTTGTATTCGTTGTTTCTAATCTTGTCCTTCATGGTGCTGAAGTCCATAGGATGTTTGATGATCATCGAGTAACCAGGAGCAATCGCATCCGTTACTGGAAGTGAGAAGAATCCGTGGGGATCTTTCCTGGAAACAAAAGTGACTCAGTGTTATTCAGTGCAGAACCACCTTTTAGACTTGTGCTTTTAAGAGGAAGTGATCTTACTAGAGAATACCAGGAAACATTATTAGTCACGTCATTATGAGCAATAAAAATTATATCATGATCAAGCAGACCGTGTCATTATGTGGTCTTATTCGCACTGCACGTTTTACAATCCATGGTTAAAACCACAGCAAATTTACAGACTGTAATATGTCTACAGTTTCCAGAAACAGAAGGAGCCAGCCTCAACAATTACTACTCACACCTGCGCTCCACTCACAATCCTCCATGCTCAAATCGGCTAATAACTAAAAGCCTACAGCCTGCAGAGGCAGCAGCGTTATTACACTGTACAACATTTAGCACGCAGGTGTTGAATGACACACATAACAAATGCAAATTTTGCTATTCTTAGAGGCCTACTGGGGCAATAGGAAAGTCATGAAAATCAAAAGCTTTGCTGCCCTGAGGAAATTGTATGTGCTCATCTGATTGCAAGTCAAGCTGCAAATGTGACCATTTTAAAGTTGCGGTGTAAAACTGAAATGGAAAGGTTTTTATCTTAAGGGAAGTATAGCTGTGTTTAGTTTCATTTCAAAACAATACACACGTAAATCTATGGTGTTTCTTGTGCATATGTGCTAAATGGTGTTCTCCCAAAACTATTAGGATTCATGCTCAGGGACAGTCTCAGCTCTGGACTTGTAAAGCTCCTCAAACCAGTACTGTGGTGTCTAACCCTCTGAAACCCAGACCCTCCAGTGGGCTTAAAAGGCAAGTTTTTTGTTGTTGTTTTTTTAAATGCCAAAATCACACCATTTATAAGAGGCAGAAACTGTAAAAAAAATAAAATAAAATACAAGAGTTATCAGATTCAAAAATGTGACAATTGCTAAACAGCTCCACAAACTGCTTGGGGATCAGAGTTAAAGGACAGATGGCTGACACTGCAGGTGGAGGCAGCAGTCAGTGATTCAGTGTTCCTCACCTCTGCAGCTGCCTCAAAAAGTGTTCCAGCAGTTGTTGACGAGGAGTGGACTCATTCTCTGCATAGGGAAAATAAAAACAACAACAACAAAAAAACCTGTTACTCACTAACACCGTTTACAAGTGAAGAACTGCTAAAATAAAAGGTTTGCATGCAAAAATATGTGATGTTGTGAACATAGACAGGCAGTCTTGCCTTGCTGTGTCCGGCAGGCTCTGACTGGTCGGTCTCCTTGTTGCTCCACTTCCACTTTCACATTGGGGTGAAACTCTTCCACTTCAGGTTCTATTTCAAATCTTTCTTTCTTCTTTTTCTTCTCTTCTGGCTGATTAGATACATACATAATACATTACCTTTCAAAGTAAACATTAAATATTTATCAACCATATTCTCTGGCTTAAATTAAGTTTTCTCACCTCTAATCCAATAGTTATTGTTTTTGTCAGTGTGAAAGGTTCAACAGGTACGCCGCTAGTGGCAGCTGTCGCAGCTGCTGCTGCTGCTGCCTCCGATTCATTCTGCTCTCGTTCTCTCTTCTTCCTTTTTTCTTCCTGTGACGTGAAAGCAAACCTTCAACTAAAAGTAAGAAATAATGAAATAATGAAATGAATGAACGATATTCTACGAACTAACCTTCCGCCGCCTTCTCTCCTCATCATCCACATATTTGTCTTTATCCTTTTCAGATTTTTTCTTCTTCTTTTTCTTTTTCTCTTTGTGGCGTTCTCGCTCGTGGTCCGATCTGTCGTCGTAGTAGCTGGAGTCATGCCCTGAACCAGAGAGCTCTGTCACCTCGCTTCCTCCAACTTTGAGCACCAGCTTCAAGGGCTTTTCAAGAGCTTTGTCCTCATAGTCTACAAACAAAAGCAAAAACACGATACCAGAAAGGCAAAATAACAACAATTAAGATAAAGCGAGAAGGCAACAAACAAAAAAGTGCAATACGTCAATCTTATCCAAGAGTACATATATTTTAACACACTGAGTAACTTGGGATTTTAGCAGGATATTATACCAACAGCAGCTAAAAAGCAGAGTTGAGGGATGGGCATGTTGTTGGTAGATTAGTTTGTAGTGTGTAAAATCATAAACATCTCTAGGGTAGCATCTCTAGACATTCATCTTAGACTAGTATGTAGCCTCTGTGTACTAGTGTATAGCAACCCCGCACTAGTTTGTAGCATCCCTAGACTGGTCATAAGCACACCCAGACTGGTCTGTAGCATCCCAAGATAAATCTGTAGCATCCCTTGACTAATCTGTAGCATCCCTTGACTAGTCTGTAGCATCCCCACACAAGTCATAAGTATCCCAAGACTCATCTGTGGCATCCCTACACTAGTCATAAGCATTACTGGACTAGTCTTTAGCATTCCTACAGTAGTCATAAGCATCGCTGGACAAGTCTATAGTATTCCTAGATTAGTCATAAGTATCCCCAGACTAGTTTGTGGCATCCTACCTGCATAAACCTTTGGACTCACGGTCAGTTGCTTGATTTATATTATATTCTTATATTGATTTATATTTCATTTACTACTCTTTGTATTTGTAATCCATTGGAGAATGTGACTCTTGGAAACTGTACTGAGTGATGCAGAGTCGGGTTTGAGGATTGCTCTCTTACCAACACTCACTGATAATTAGTACTTTTCCCTTTTGATTAGTGTTTCATTTGACTTGATTTTACAATCAAAAAGGAGGGATCTGTGAAGGAAAAATTACATTCCTCTCTTGGAGTTAAGTTTCCAGAGATGGTATTGAACTTTTCCCCTTAGCTCCTCTGACTGACCCCTTTATGTGAGGCAGTATTTATAACAGATCTATATTTTGCAAATCTTCTGCAGATTCTTGACCTCATGTAGCTGTAGTGTAGGAGGACAGGTAAGCATGTACTCTCTGCATCTCTCACGGCCAGATTACACCAAGGTGCCGGACCGTCTTTGTTTCCCCTCCAACCAAAAAACCGGAAGGGGCCCCCAACCAAAGCCGGAAAAAAACGAAAGGGGGAAAAAAAACCCGAAAAACGAAGCCGGCAATAAAAGACGGAACCGCCGGTCACGCAAGTAAAACAGCAAACCACATCACAAAACAACACATCAAACTAACCCATCTGAGTCTCCGGGGCGGGTCCCTCAGCCGACATCAACATCCTACAGAATTTCCACAACAAGGGTGAGTGATGCGGCAGTGGTTGTGGGTTAAATGTATTATTGTATTAGTAATATGTAATATACACTCTATATTTTATTTTATTGCATTATGTTTATTGTTATTACACAATTAATTACACAAAGTCACAACTCTCAGTTGTTGTGTGGAACCTTTGCTGGGGGGTCCCGGTACCCCTACGTACACTTTTAGCACCAGCTCCAAATAAATGAGTTTTTCTCGCCTTGACACTCCCCTTTTGTTTACGTGAGGGTTAAGAGAGGTAAGCGAGATTGCGCTATTTGTGTGTTTTAATGTCATGTAATTCTACTGGCAGGTTCACTCGTCCAATCAAGTATGGTTATTATTTAATTTCTGTAGGGGTACAAGTCTTGCAAATTCACGGAAGATCTTATGTGTGTGTTTTATCGGCTGTAAAGGTTCCGTTTTGTACTGTACATCTATTGTACATGCATTGAATGCCTTCCGCCACCATGTAAATCCACGGAAGATCTTGTGTGTTTTTTATTGCCTGTCAAGGCTGTAAATAACGGAGATCGCCTCCGAAAAAAACAAAAACAAAAAAACAAAACTGTTTATCTCGGCGGACTAAACAGCGCAGAGAAGACATGCATGGCTCTATGGTTTTCCTCTTATTGTAGGCTGGTCGGCATGAAGCGAAAAAGGGACAAAAGTGAAATGTCAGGTCGTGGCAGAGCTGAGGAGCAGGAAGAGGGAGAGCCAGGGGAGTTGGAGGAGGTTGGAGAGGAGGCAGGCAAAGAAAGGCAGGGCACTGAGGCAGACATGGATGAGGAATACATGCATGGACAGAGAGATGAGGGAGAGGAACAACCAGGGGAACAGCGGTCCGCTGTTTCTGATGATGGACTCAGTGATCTTGGTGTCCTAGGTATAGAATCCAGAAGGACCAAGGCCTTGGATCTTAACATATTTCAGGACCAGTTTGTCAGACAGCACAACTGCCGTATCATGTTGCTGTAGTGAATAGCAGGATAACCCAACCACTTATGTGACTGATTCCAAATGTTCCTTATGTTACACATTTCAACACTGGCCCCGATAAGCTCATTGTTTCAGTTGATGTGTGTTTTGCAAAAAACATAAGCATTTGTTAAATTTTAATATAAAGTAAATAAAAGTGATTAAACACTGCCCCCCTCAGTAAAATTTGTCTAGAACCGCCACTGTCTGCAGCAGAGTAGTCACCTGGCTAGTTCGTAACATCCCGAAGTTTACGTTTCACAAATGTAATACACATCTGCTGCCCGGCTAAGCTAAGCTAAACTAGCATAACGCTAGCTGGAACAAAAGCCGCGCGGCTGCAAGCTAATCGTAAAATTGCGTATTCACGTACCGTCAACTGTCCTCCATTCCGGTTTATGTTTCTTGTGCTTTTTTCCCATGTTTGCGTATCTGTACTGTAATTATTATTCCAGTTGTGTTGCCACTCGTCGCTAAGCGTTAACCCTGTTGGAACAAGTTAACGAGAAAACTGCTAACCGGAAGTGAAACCTCAAAAAGTGATGTTGTAGTTCCGGTGTCACAAATCAGCGCGCTGAATTCGACTGACTGTCGGCCGGTTGTCAACACATCGGACGGTCGGGAAGCAGAACTTTGGTTCATGCAACTAATCAGTCTGACAGCGTAAATGTTTTAAGGTGTGGTGTCTGTTTTGTCAACGTAGCCGACACTTTCGCCGCTGTTAGCTCGCTACGTTAGCTAGCCCTAGCATTAGCAACTTTCCAAAGTTAGCTAGCTGGCTAACGCGATAAGGAGTGCGTTTCGGTTTATCACTAAATATATGCTAGTAACTCTGCGTTACTGCTATTAAAGCTCTGAATTTTGCTCCGGTCTACACAGGTTTACTGCTGTGGAGGGTGACATAATGGAAGTGGGGAACCTGAAACAAAACATCAACGTGGAGGTCCATGTTAAATCACAAAGGTGAGTAGTTTAAACACACCGATGCTGCTGTGTGTCAGACCACAGAGCCCAAAACCAGGACAGAAACAGAGGAAAAGGCCTTAAACAACCACACTTTGATTTCAAGGGAGGTGGTCAGCTACATTGAAATGCACTAATACACAGTACTGGATGAGAAGTACTAACAATTTTACCAGTTTAATTATAGCGACCCCTATTTCATGTCGGAAAATCTGTTTGCAAATGTGTTGGTGTATAAAACAAATCAGGACCGGCTCTGTCATAGTATCAGTCAGAAATTACAGTACACAACAGGCGTGAATACCACCCAGTGTAGTATTTCATCAGTGTAAAATGATTCCAAGTTGTATTACTGCTAAATAATTAAATTGTTTCTAACAAGTATTTCCACAAATGAACAATCAAAAACAAATCCTTTACAAAGGCTATATTGAAAATACAGGATGTAAAGTAGAAACTTCATGTAACGAAAGTGAATACATGTGATCATTGACACACAGTTTAGAAAACCTGTGATCACTCAAACAAAACTGAGTACAACTGTGATTTCCAATCAGCCTAACTGCATGAATTTCCTCAATTTTGGACCTATGGGCTCTGTGTAGCTGCATGACTGGATATACCAAAATACTGGTTGACAAGATGACTTCCATTCTGCAGAAACTTTACAGAAGAGGAACATTCCAGCACAATAACCATACAAATCACACTGCAAAAATCACAAAAGTGTTTCTAAAAAAAAAAAAGGAACAATGTGAAAGCTATAATCTGGCCATAAGTAAGTAGGCTTGTTTGAATCCAATAGATCCCTTTCAGGGTATTTTATAGAAAAAAGTGAAGCAGCACAACCCATCTAGCAAAAAGCAGCTGAAACGAAGAGTCTAAAGAAGGCAGAGTATGTCTCCAGAAATTTGGTATCCTCCGTGCTGAGGAGAATCGAGTCTGTCATCAAAAATAAAGGTGGATGTATGAAGTATTGAAAAAATAAAAGATTTCAATCTCAGTAATGAAATATGTACTGACTTTAGTTGCATTCAGTACTTTTAATATAAAACATCAAAATAGTTTTTAATTGTGCAGCACATGCAAATATTCTGCTGTTTAACTTAGAAGTTATGCAGTTACTGTAAGGTGATTAAAATGTACAACAATTTGACATTTATAAGTGATATTGCACCAGGGTGTACTCACTTCTGTTGTATACTTCATGTATATATACATCTGTGCTGACTTGTGTATTGTCTGATTCCATCCATGTTAATATTTTAGTACAGCTAAGCTGTCTGAGGTGAGGATCCACGTTCAGGCTCTACTGAATCGCCACAGTGTGGTTTTTGGAAACTACAGATGGACCGAGTTCGATGAAGATTTCCTGCAGACACACGTGGAATCTGTGGCTATAGTTGACCTTGAGGAAAAAGTAACACAGGTTTGCCATTTTTGATTCGCTTTGCAAATATTTTCAGGCCTTTTTACATCATTGTGGGTTTCTTTTTGTTTTTTAGGTAAAAATGTTTTGTAGTTGTCTATTTTATTCATCTTTTTTTTTTCTCCCCTTAGCCCCTTGACTTGAAGAGCTGCTCTGTCTCTGTTCACATCTTCACCCTGAATGAGGATGGACCCAGCACGCTCAGCTTGGAGGAGGATGAGGCGCTTTCAGCAGCAAATCACTGGTTGCTGCCAGCAGGTGAAACTAGATACTGTGGAGCATGGCACATTGACTGATATAGCGTGTTGCAAAAATCTTGCTTTCTTAGTTTGATGTATTCTCAATTGAAGTTGGACAGCCACACAAGTTTATTATAAGAAGTGATCATTCTGAAGTGTAAGCCAGGAGGGTGCACTCAGTCCACAATGTTTTTTGAATATGAAATGAAGTAAGAAATGACTGGAGAGCACTGACTGACCCTGATTGTAGGCTTCAAAGGTGGCTTTTAAAAAGTTAGTTTGGATTTGTGAGGCTGTGTCTTCATCCTCATGCATTACATTGTCAAGCTGTGAAGAAGCCGCCTGTGGCTCATTATAACCTCTCTGAATCCAGCATGACCAACGCCTAGCTTCTCTAAATAAACCCTAAATATTTGAGAACCCCATTTTAAAGCGAGAGTATGCAGAATCGTAGAAATGACAAGAGTAAGCTTTTGCCGTTTCTACACAGGTAAGAATTCTGACTGCAAGGCTTGTGACTGCCACAGATAACAAATTATAGGGCTGGGTGAGGTAGCTGAATCATTTATTGTGATTAAATGTTTGGTTTCACTCAATATTAAGCATTAATTATTGTTTTTTATTACCTATTTTCATTGAAGACCTAATAAAAAACAGCTCATGTAGAACTTAAGGTACACAGGTAATAATTTTAATGTTAATGCAACAACGAAAAACACATGCAAATGAAAAGGAAAGAGAAGGATGAAGGAATAATCTCACCTTGATACACATTCGATAAAGCAAACAAATAAACACAGAGGGTGATCCAGGTAAATTCGCTGAGCTGTGGCTACTTTTCCTGGTGGCTGGCCTGGACCTGGTATCACCATACTGGGACCCTGCAACTGCCTCAACATCAAGTCAGGCCTCAGAGCAGGCCGCCAGGAGAGCTTAGTTCAGGTAGAAGTGATGGGAGACGCAAGGTTGTGACTGTTTTTGGACTGCAAAGCCCGTTTCACAACCACTGTTTGTCACCGGCCTCAGCTTCCAGTAAGGAAGGTTTGCAGTGCAGACGTGGTGATGAAAAGACTAGCACGCCTCAGGAGACCTGCACGGAAGCCACAGAGAAAGAGATAGAGGGGGAAGGTGATTCAAAGGTGGTTTGTTCATGCAACTGAACTTTGCTTTTTAATTACAAGCTTGCACAGTGGATTGTATTCAGTGCCAAGTTTCTTTTGTTGGTATATGTTCTACCACCTAACGGATCAGTTTTTATTTTTATTATCAGAGGACTTGATTTATTGATTGGCGTTGGGATAAGTATGACAAGAAATGTCAGCGGAATACTCTAGCGTTAAGCTTACGAGGGGATAAATATTAAATCACCCATTTAGGAGTATAGTAAAATACATACATTTTGGACATGTCCTAAACTTAGTAAATATTGGGCATCTATTTTTACCACTTTTTCGGAGGTGTATAAGATTAAACTGCCTCCTACCGCGTTGACTGCTCTCTTTGGAGTTCTACCCCCTGGTATCTCTGTTATCAAACTGCATTCAAATACTATTGCTTTTACCTCTTTGCTTGCTCGACGGCTTATACTGTTGAGGTGGAAGCAGGACAGCCCCCCAACACATGACCAAAGGATTGTGGATATTATGAGGTTTTTGCATATATGAGAAGATACGAAGCACTTTAGCTAGTTCGTTACTGAAGTTTAGTAAAACATGGCAGCCATTCTTGAAGTACGTGGAAACTTTCAAAATGTGCACCTTAGAATAGTACCCAGCCACAAGTCTGATTGGTTGACTGCTGACCAAACTGTCCATTTTATCTCTTTTATTTTGTTTACTTATTTATTTTTTTGTGTGGTTGCATGTTTGTGTTTTCTTTATTTTTATATATATATATAGTTTTTTGTTTGTTTGTTTGGGGGTTTTTTTGTATTTAATTTTATTTTTACTTAAACTGCTTGATTTGCATGCATGCCCATATTGTTGAGTTGGGGTTTATGTTAAAAGAAAGAACAGCTAATAAGGCATACTGTGTATGGTCACATTAATATATATTGCTGTTGAGAAACTCTAAATAAAATTGGGGGAAAAAAAGGAGTATAGTAAAGTTATAGTGATAAATTAGTCGTACTTTCTATGTGTTTCATAATTTTAACCTGCACCTCCACTAGCGTAGTGAACAACCTGTATGTAATGTATCAGATGAACTGTTTTTCTTTTGACTTATTGAAAACTTTGTGAATATTCCCCTAAATTTCCTTGATCTGTTTTTTAACAGCTGAATTCCACGGGATTTGGGAGAGTCTGGTATATGAGAATGGAGTGAAAACCCAGGTAAAATAATTAACAACGGTTGAGAAATGAGAGAAAACGATTATACAACTTTACAACAATGCCTAACACTGTTCGCATTCTCCTTCAGCTCCTGGATTATGTCACAACAACAATTTACTTCTCAGACAAAAACGTTGACAGCAACCTGATTTCCTGGAACCGCGTTGTTCTGCTCTATGGTAAATTGCAAAATGGGGGGAATTACAATCATTAGCACTGATTGAGGTTGTGTCAGAGACGATGTGTGCACAATAACTGATTTATCTCTCTGCGTTTGGCCACATTCAGGCCCCCCGGGCACAGGGAAAACATCGCTGTGCAAAGCTCTTGCCCAGAAACTGTCAATCAGACTGTCAAATCGGTAAGACTTCACCGTCATTAAAGTGTAACCGCCTCAACTGTAACAACACCTGCTCTTTTCATTTCAAAATCCACTCTTCTGCCCTGCAGGTATTCGTATGGCCAATTTGTCGAGATAAACAGCCACAGCTTGTTTTCAAAGTGGTTCTCAGAGGTACGCCTGGGCTCTTTCATGTTAAATTAACTGGAAAATGTTTGAAATGAAATTGTTATTTTTGCAGATAACAATAATTTGTCTTTGTTGCAGAGCGGTAAGCTGGTCACCAAGATGTTCCAAAAGATTCAACAACTGATTGACGACAAAGACGCTCTCGTGTTTGTTGCGATTGATGAGGTAAAATCGCAGCTGGAAACTGGAATAGAGCCACCAGGATGAGTTTATTCAGTGCATTGCATTCTGGTTCGCTTTCATATTCACGAGGTGCCGTAGAAGTTTCCTTTGTTATTGAAAATACTTGTTTTGTGATCGATAGGTGGAGAGTCTGACAGCAGCAAGAAACGCCTCCCAGGCAGGAACAGAACCTTCTGATGCCATTCGAGTGGTCAACTCTGTCCTCACTCAGCTGGACCAGATCAAACAGTCAGAAAACACATCACTACATGAGAAATTTCTCATTTTATGTAACTTCAATACCGTATTTTTCCGACTATTGAGCGCACCTGAATATAAGCCGCACCCACTAGCTTTAAATAGAAAAAGTACATATATAAGATGCACTTGTCTATAAGCTGCAGGTGTCCACGTTGTAACATGAGGTATTTGCACAGAAAGATTTTTTTAAACTTTTAATTAAATGCAACTGGTAACATACACAAATACATAAATGCTTTTTTTTCGAACAGTGCCTGTAACACAGCCGGTTAAGAAAATAGAAAATACAGTAGCCTACCAGGAAAAGTCATTGATCTTTATCTTCCTCCTGCACTAAAACCACTAAAGTCGTCTTCTTCAGTTTCGCAGTTGAACAGCCTCAGAATTACTTCGTCACACACTTCCTCAGTCTCTCTTTCGTTGTCGCTTCAATGTCACTTTTGTTTTGAGGCAAATTCGTTAAAATCGTAAAAATCCATAAATTAGTTGTATCATTGTTTAAGCCACAGTGTTCAAAGTGTGCGAAAACAGTAGCAGCTTATCGTCCGGAAATTACGGTATTTTATTTCAGATTCTCACAATTGCTCCCAAATAACTTTTTCTGTTGGAAAATCTTCCCATCAGACATTCCAACGTCGTGATCCTGACGACTTCAAATGTGACAGAAAAGATTGACCTGGCGTTTGTGGACAGAGCCGACATCAAGCAGTACATCGGACCTCCATCTGAGAAAGGCATCTATAACATCTACCTCTCCTGCCTCGAAGAGTTGATGAAGGTGACCGAGCAAAATGGCAGCAATTTACGTGTGAAATTATTTACATATATTGCATCATCTCGACCCTGAAATCTGCCAGTAGGTTTAAAATACGTGTTATCTTTAAATAATCTGCAATATTCCACCATTTATCAGAGAAAAAAACAGTAGAAACAGAAATAAGCATTGGATGTCCGGCTTTCCAAAGGTCCTTGAACTACACCGCTATGATGTGCCATTCCACTGGAAAGCATAACCTAAATGTAAACTTGAAATTGTGACGTTGTCAAAAAGCTTTCTTATGCATGTCTCATTTAAAAATTCACCAAAACAAACTGTTTGCACCAGATTCTGCAAAAAAGTAAGAATTTTGTGCGGCACAGCACAACAACGAAGCCATGGTTGGCTCAGCTGTGACCAACAATCACATAAAAATTTAGAGATATTCAGCTGATCTGCAGGCTGTGCTTATACAGAGCAGACATCAAAACAACTTAGAGAGATTGAGAGGAAACCTACTTGGAAGACACATTCAGCATGGCGAAATGTCTTGTTTGTAGAGGTCGTAAAAACTTAATTAGCATTCCAGAGAGTTCTTGACATGATCTTAAACTTCCCATCGTCATATATTTAAAAGAGTAATAAGCAGCTTTATTGCAGAAACAGCACTTTAAATCCAATAAATTATGTCTAATATGTAAATGCTTGTGATGTGTTGTGATGCTTGCAGTGCCAGGTGATCTACCCCCGGCAGCAGCTCTTCACCATGTTTGAGCTGGAGACGATGGGCTTTGCAAAGAGCGAGGTGTCCGAACTCAGTCTGAGCCTGAGGAACATCGCTGTGTGAGTTCTCCCAACAGTAATGCAATAGCACCCAAATCACACTGTCTGCGCTCCAGTCAGAACATCGAGTGCCAGCGGGAGCAGGAACAGCCAGAGGCTAATGTTCTGTCTGTCTTTTCTTTCCCAGAAAGAGCAAAGGTTTGAGTGGAAGAACTCTGAGGAAACTACCATTTCTGGCCCACGCACTCTTTGTAAAGGTAAGCATTTGATTTTGTTCTGCTGAGGGAAAAAAAAAGTAATTTAGCAAAAAAATCCACAGGAGCGAGGGAACCAAAAAATACTGTCCGTAATACCTTAATCGAAATGCATTTTTTGTAGCCTGAAGTATATATGTGATTGTGTGTTTTTTTTTTGTTTGTTTTTTTTAGCACTTAATTAAGGAGATAGATAGATAGATAGATAGATAGATAGAGATAAAAACTGTATAAAGTGTACTATTAATTTGTGGTTATTTACTGAATTTATTTTTTTGGTTCTCGTATACTTTCATGCTTATTTTAATTCTTTGTTTCTGCTTTTTCTGATATTTTTTTTTTTTGCGGAATTTTTTGTAAAATACAAGAAGACATTTAAAATTGAAAACACATTAATGTAACATCTTTGTTATTAAAACATCTGTAATTATAGGACACCTTTGCTTTTTACTGTATCTAATTTTATAAATCTATTTTCAGTATTAAGCTTCCTTTTATTTTTAACAGCTTTGTGTGTCAAATGAAAATAAAATTTAATTTAAGTTATAGTACATTTGTCAATGTCATTTAACAGTCTGTCTATGCTGGAAATATATATTTTTTCTTTAAAAAAATAACTCAGAAATTCAGTCTTTTGTAGTTTTATTAATATCTTTGGGTATTTAAACAATACAGTAAATAAATAAATAAATAAATAAATTTTTTAAAAAAGGAGAATTTCCATGAAGTTGCAGACTTTCCTTACAGTGTCTGATTTGTTTGCTTGCAGACACCAACAGTAACTCTTCATCAGTTTCTGGACGCGATGAGCCGAGCGGTGGATAAACAAAGGGAGGAAAACGCCAACCTGACCAACAGTGTCTGAGGCCACGTTCACACGTAGCCGGGTATTTACAAAAACAGATCTACATTTTTAAAAATAACATTGTTCCACCAGATCATTTTCAAAAAAATCTTTGTCAACACAAACCCGCTTGAACACGTTGTAAAGAGCTGCTATGAGCTGTCAAACCTATAGGGGGCAGGGTGACAAGAAGCATAAAGCCATGCTAGCTAATTGGAATCCTTGAAAAAACACAACAACTAATGGCACAAATTACTTTCTGTTACTTCAACGATAATGGCGCGAGGGTCGTTTGTTTGGACCGACAGAAAAGTGGAGCTCCACATAATAGAACATTTCTGAATGTAAATGCAAACGTAAAAACAAGCACTGCTTTAACAGCATCCATCTCTGTCACAGTAGCCAAACTGTAAACATGGGTCGCACACATATGGCGCCGATGACGCTTTTGTCGCACACTGTGACGTCAAACTCCGTCTCTTCCTGTCTACATGCAAACGTAAAGATGGAGTTTTTCCACATCTCCTCTTTGGCCAGAGTTTTCAGATACGATCTTTTTTGGTGACTTGTAGCTTCGTTTACGTGTAAACCAAAGGCCATTGAAATATTACAGTTTTTGCTACTTGTAAACACAATCCTGTGACGAGCCTCCACCTGGACACTAGGTGTGCCTGTCTTTTCTTTTACAGGGCTGAATGAGGGTCATCAGCTGAGTGAACTCCCTCATTCTTTGTCTGCCCCCCTTCTGACAGGAGCTGCCCCTTTTGAGACACCATCACCACAGTTTTGTTTGTTCTATTGCTTACATGCACGTTCTGGTTGTTGTTCATTTGTTAAAATAAATGCCTTTTCAGTCACCACTCAGTTGTTGTCTCCCAGTTTTTGTTACAGTTTTGAGCCAAGCTGTAACAAATGGGGGCTCGTCCAAACTTTAGTGGATCCAGTTGTAGTAAGTATCTCTGCTGAGTGACGTTTTTGTTTGGTCGTTGGTTTTCTTCACTGAATGTTCATACATATGATGATTTGTGTGAGTTAATAATTCCGGAGCGGTTCAAAAACTCAGTGTCCTCTCTCCTGATGTCAGCTCTCCCCGAGTAAAGGTGGATTAAGCTACAGTAAGCTACCCCCTGAGTTCTCAGCTTTTGTGTCCGGTGGTTATGTGTCACTGGGAGGTAATAATCATAAGACACCAGCAAAAGTTCAACAAGACACTGGAGCGTTTCATTCATTCATTGTGAGTTCCGTGCTGCCATTCTCTCAGCTCACCGCGACTAGTGATTACATTTTGATGAAGGGAGTGGGATTGTTGCCTGTTCCGGCGCACATATTGATGCTGGACTGTGGTCTAGTTCATGGTGAGGTTACCTCGGGTGAGCGTCCGGCTCTGCCAGTCCAGGGGGATGTAGGTTATTCTGGGGAATGACCTGGCGATTGTCCACTTGAACCTGTGGTAACAGTTTCTCCCTCTGTTGCAGAAGCTCCTGATGAAAGTGCAGGATGTTTTCTGAGGTGTTCACAGCATGTGCAGTTACACGTTTCATGTGTGGTAGGGAGGCAGGATGGAACTCTGGCCCAGAAGATAGTGGGATGCTCCCTGTGGTTATACCTGACTCTCTGTTTGTCAGAGTGACCTGGCAGCTGAACAGCGAGCTGATCCTTCCCTCAGAGTGTTGTTTGATTTTTTGTGCTTGTCAGTGGAATGAGTGCTGCACATGGTTATGTGCTACAGAACGACTTGTTGGTGAGGAAATGGATGCCACATGGAGAAAACTTCACTGGTGATCCTGTTTGTCAGATTGTGGTGCCTTCCAGATTCCAGGAGGAGGTGCTGAGGACGTCTCATGATCAGTGTGGACATCTGGGGGTTCTTAAGACTTCCAGTTCCATCTTGAAGTACTTCTTTTGGGATTGTTTGAAAAGAGATGTTTCTCAGTAATTTAAAACATGTCACACGTGTCGAAAACAAGCTCCTCTGTGTCCCGTCACTGCAGTTTCTCAGCCTTTTGAGCAGCTCATTGTTGATTGAGTTGGTCCTTTACCACGTTCAAAATCTTACAGTAATGTGTCGGAGTACGAGATGCCCAGCTGCGTATCCGTCTGTGGTCAGAGCGCTGACCCAGTTCATTTCAGTATTTGGGATCCCAGAAATTATCAGTGATCAGGGCTCAAATTTTTTGTCATATTTGTTTGCTCAAGTTTTGTAACTATCCCCAAAGGCTGACACATGATTGTTAGTAATCTGTTTGTTTGAACCCTTACAGCTTTTTATAAAGTGCGATCAGTTCATTTGGCAGCACTAAACCTAGTTTTAACAAATGCTATGTGTAACAGAAACGTCTATATTCAGGTAACTTTGTTGGTGCTAATATCTTAAAAGACCAAAGGCCACGCGTGTGTCAGTCGAGGAATTTTGGTTTGAGGTTTTAGTACCAAGTGCTTGAATTTTCTTTGTGGTATTAACTCAAATCTTTACTCTGTTCCTACTTTCAAAGTGTTTGATATTTTTATATAACATGCAGCTTTAACCTTAACAGTGCCACTATTTTTTTTGTTGTTGTTGTTTTTGTGTCAAGGATCGGTTGTGTTTTTTTATTTTCTACATACATTGTTGTCATTAGTTCTTGCAGTGCCATCGGTGTGTAAACATGATCTCAGTCAGTGGGTAGTTGTGTTGGTGTTATCCCATTAAAATGGCAGCTTGTCCAACAAAAATAAACGCAGGTTTATGGCGGATTAAAGGCCTCAGTGGACAATAAATCATCAGAAATGTAGCAAACATGATGCAGTTTGTTGTGGGAGGTTAGCGTTTTTTGATTCTGATGGTTTTAAATGTTCTTATCCCACTTACTGCTGCTCATTTCTCCCTGACAGAGCTGCAGCCTCACTGAACTGGGCTTATGTTTCTGCATGATGTCACTTTTTTGTATAAAACTTCCTTAACATGCAGTTCATTTACACACTGTTCATTTGTTTTTGCTTTCTTTTAAAAAGGGATGTATTTTTTTTGTCAGTTCTGTATTTATGCTAACAAATTCCCTTTAAACTTCCTGTTCATTACAGCTTTATTGTGTAAATAACACTGTAATAAACAGTGCTGTTCATGTTTGTGTGTGTTGTCCAATTACTGCAGAGGAAGCCAAGTTGAGCCGGAAATAATTCATACCTTATTTACATTTATAGTTAATTATCATGCGACTAATCGGTGTCTTCTACCTGGAAATGGCAAAAGACAAAAAGTCATTGTGTTTGAGATGTTAATGATAGTTTAAACTATTTTTGTTTGGATTTTTTTGTACAATTTCTCAAAAAGTACCTGAATTATTCGTAGCCCGTCTTAGTAATCTATGGCAGCTGGGATTTTGTTGTCCTCTAACATTAGTCCCACACAGGTGGATGATCTTGTTGATAGAACTGCAGCGTTACGGCGTTCATCAATTGATGTTGTTGCCCCATTCAAAAAGAAGCCTTTACATTATAATAAAATAGCACCGTGGTGAAGTCAACAGCTGCACATCTTAAAACTGAAATTAAGAAGGCTGGAAAGACAGTGGCGCTCTTCAAACTCAGAAGAATTTAATCCAGCCTGGAAAGATAGTTTCCTCACCTATAAAAAAGCAATCCGCAGGACAAGAACTTCTTATTATTCATCTTTAATTGAGCAAAACAAGAACAGCCCCAGGTTTCTTTTCAGCACTGTAGCCAGGCTGACAAGGAGCTCTGTGGAGCCTTGTGTTCCTTTAACTCTCAGCAGAATATTTCTATTCATACTTATTGTTCTGTTCTATTGCTTGCTCTCCATCTGCTATCCTGTTTTCCCCGCCGGCACCTCCTAATCCCCACTCTCGCCCAACCAGTCAAGGCAGATAGCTGCCTTCCCAGAGCCTGGTTCTGTCAGAGGTTTTTTTTCCCCCCCTCCCTTGAGGGCGGGGGTTTTGGCTCTTTGCTGACCGCTTGTTCAGACGGAGTCCAAAGGCAACTTGTTGGGTTCTCTGTTTAAATCTGTAAGGTCTTCACATGTTAAGCATTGTGAGATGGCATATGTTGTAAACTGCGCTATGCAAATAAAATTGACTTGACTGGAACTACTACATGAGCTGTGCTCAGTTTATAGTGTATTAGAACACTCTAGAACTTTTTCTCAAAAATTTGCCACAATTTCCAGAGATTGGAACAATTTTAGAAAAGGGGTTTTTAGTCAAAATGCAAAAACATACAGAAACGGTTGAACTGTATCAGTAGCATCTCCTTCACAGTGTCCTACCATCTTTTGACACTGTTTTTGTCATATCCAGCCCCAACAAACCTCCTGTTGATGAAAAATTCACTCTAAAACACATCTTGTAATGGGTACAGACTGTTTGGTGCGCAGCAGTAAAAGCCTTTTGGAGACTTTGACAGTACTCCGAGGCCACCACTTGGTGGTGCACAGATGCTGCCATCCAGCTCTACACGTGGAAAAACTGTCTTTTATTATATTCAATTTTACGAGTTACATGATAATAACGATAAGGACGACGAGTCAAAACGGCCGCAGCAATAAAAACAGACTTCAGTTTGACCTTGAGTCCACGTGACCTGTCTCAGTGACTTTAGAAGTTTACCAAAAAAGGCCCACAAATATTTAATGTCACTTTGCAAATATGGAAATTAAAAGCACTGTTCCAGGTTTAACTTCACTGCAGTTAAGAAACTAAACCACAGTAATCCTGGTGTTTTAGACGGACTCCTGTGTGACGGTTCACACTGAGACATGGCTCTGATGTCTGACAGTGTGTGTGTTTTTGTTGCCACCTATTTGACCTAAAAACAAAACAGTTGAAAGATGATCCCACGTTGAAATGTATCAGTCCTGCGCACAGTTTACACGAACAGCTCAGTGGCTTCATTGTTTGTATGAACATGTTTTGCATTCTGTGAATGCTCTGCTGCTTTGCATGTCAGCTGCCGGGTTCAGACAATGTGCCCTTTGTTTGTTGCTGGCAACAGCTTTTTCATTCCACTTCAAAGGTGGATCCTGTAGGCTGTTCCTGAATGTAAAAGGAAGGCAAACACTGAATTCATCTCTATTCACACGCTTCAAACCTGCTCAGTCATATCACCAACACCTTCAAAATGACCTTTCTTGGGTGTTTAATTAAGCTTATTATGTGTTTTATTGGTGGATTTGATTTTACAGTCAAAAGTCTATCATTAAGATCAAGAAAAAGATTTATACTCGAATCAAAACCAACACAGATTGGATTTCCCCCTCGTACAAATCGACCTCATTTCATTAAGGACACATGACTGTTGTGTGTGTGTGTGTGTGTGTGTGTGTGAGTTTCCCCTTCAGTCCCGCAGTATCTTTTACATCTAATTGCCTGGTGCCCACTATTTTCATTTGTTAATGAGGTTCTTATGCGAGATGAATCACATGAGGAAGCTCAACGTTTCTCTAATCTGATCAATGATCACAAAGTGGAGAGAAAAAGGGGGCAGATAGAGAAAGGGAGAGCTGTAGGAACGGGCATGGTAAATAAAACCATAATTGCTCTGTCTGGAGGCCTTTTTCTTTTGACTGTAGTCTGTCCAAAACCAGGCAGCTGTTAAAAGGCAATCAAGCCGGAGAAGGAAGAAAAGTCAAAAGCCTTATTGTTACAGGATTTTATCACTGTTTCAAGCAGCTTTAAAATGTCAGAAAACTCCAAACAAAGCAAACAGTCTGATGTTTATCCTCTCAACCGTTGTTCAGGTACATTGCTGAAAGCAATGGAATATCCCGGCATGTGCCAATGGTGATTCACGTAGGGAGGGGGTTAACTTACACACATACTTATAGGCATGTTAATAGGAAACTGCACAGGGCTGCGCACAAACTATG